TGGTTCCAGCCAAAGGCTTCAGGGCTCTGCTGAGGGTCTCTTTGCAAGCAGCAGCAGCAGCAGCAGGACCTGTGAGTGCCTGCCAGCAAGGGCTGGTGGGGGGGGGGGCGCATAGGAGACCAGACTACTTTTTTGAATTATTTGGGAGTACAGGGCTAAAGGTCTTTTAAACCTGAAGGAGAATTCTGATTTGTTTTTTGCCACACTTGTGCATGTATACACACACACATGAATATATCTACCAAAATTGTTCAGCAACCAATTTGGTGGATGTACTTTATGGCAAGAATCAAAGCAGTGGGTGAATTCTCCTTCAGGCATTATATTGCGGTTGCTTTCATTTGAATTAGTGTTAGCCAACTTCAGATGATTTTGAAAAAGCTAGGAGACATGGATTAGGAGCTGTAAAACTTCCTGAAAAGCTGAACAGCACAGGCGCAGAAAAAGGGAGCAAACGAACCTGTCTGCTCTCTCCTTCCTCCTCTCAGATGGCATCATGGCAAGTGGTTCCAGCAATGTCGGGTGAGCGCAGAAACTAGGAGAGAGAGGCGAATCCCACCACTTCAGTCGGCCCTTCCCCCACCCACTTTTAAAGTGCTACTTTACAAGCTGGCAGCAGCACTGCTTTTCAAACCAGCAGAGCTGTTTTTCAAGCCTGCAGCAGCCTACTCACCCACCGACCCTGGATCACGTGGCTGCACTGGCATCATCACCCCTCAGTCAGCTTGCCCTCCCCTGCACCCTTCGGCCTTACCTTCGGCAGCAGTGGTGTGATCAGAAGTGCAGTTCAACCTGTGAAATAACTAACCAGAAATGTGGCTGGAGTGGATGCTCACTGGAAGATAAGGCTGGTGGCGAGGGGTGGGGCGGGGCGAGGGGTGGGGCTGAATCCCACCATTCCACGGGATGGATACTTTGCATTGGCGGGCCGTATCCATCCCATGGGCCGTAGTTTGAGGATCAGTGATATATGTGATGGTTAGAGTTGATTAATATAAAGTATATTTTTTTTCTTTAAATGCACACATACACATATACATATATACATACGCACACATACGCACAATAATAAAGAGTGTAATATGTAAGATGATTTTATAAATATATACATTATATAAATAAGAAAACTGCAGGCATACCAAACAAGAGAACAGAAAATTTGTATATGTTTGGTAATAGCTTTAGTCTTTGTAACATCTTCATTTTTTTAATCTCACTATATTAAAGAAATAATGGATTAGCATTCATAATTAATGCTTCAAATCCATATGTATGCATATTTCTGTGAGAGAATTTTAAAATATTCTTTCTTTAAAATATTCTTTCCAAATCTACAATTTTCAATCACATGCTTGCTTATGATTTGGGCATCTTTAGAGCTAAATCTACTGTTGTGGCTCTGTTACCGGAGCCTGTGTCATCGTCAGGAGAGGACTCCGAGAGTGAAGGGGAGGAGTTGGCAAGGCCTCCCTCTCCAGGACCCTCCTCTCTGGCAATGCCTTCAGTGTCCGCCGAAGGGCAAGAGATAGGGCCAGGGCCAAGCACGTCCATGCAGCCACAGATGGACAGTGATGAGGGTAATGAGTCTTGGCTGGACCCACGCCAGCGTCGCAGAGATAAGCGCACGCAACAGAAGAAAGGGCGTGCCCGAGATTAGGCTGAGTCACTGGACCACACCCCACAGGATATAAAAGGGAGCGTCGTGGCCAGTCAAACCTTGTGACGAACAAAGCTGAAAGCTTCCACGCCATTCTGCATTGCCGGACTTTTGCTTTAAGACTTTGCTGGAGTATCTCTGGACTTGATTAATTCCGTAATTATTGAGCTGCTTTCCTTTGATGTATCAGAAGTGGGGAGAAGTTATCTCTCCTCTTTGTAAATAATAAACTCTTGGCAGGCAGCCACTAGGTTGTTGCCAAGTTCCGTTATCATAAGGAAAAGGATTTTGCTGGCTGGTTTGGTCTTTAACTCCTGAACGTCTGTTGGTGTGTGTGCATGAGGTTGGGGACAGAACATCTACTGTCTGAAAGTCATTCTTGCTCTTTGAAATTAAAAAAAATGGCTATTGAATGGGAGCCATCAAATTCATGGAATTTGAAACATTCCCCCCTTTTTTTCAATATAAGAAATTTGGGGTGAGGGAAGATACCTGTATTCCACTATGAAATTCTCTAAAAAATGTGGATTCCTCTGCCAAAACTAAGCCCTGATTAAAAAATACTGTTTTTTATTCTTGCGAAAGACACTTTACTGCTTTTCTTTTATGGCAGTGCTGTTTCTTTGATTGAGCTCATTAATATACACCAAACTCTTTTGCTTTCTAGGTATAATTGGCGACCATTAATATTACCCAGTCATCACATCCCAAGGGTTATAGGTTTATAGCCCAACATATTTGTGGGTTATAGCCCCACATATTTGAATGGCTGTATAAATTATTGTTTTGATTTTGATACAGTCCTTGCAACTTTCCTTAAACTTTTTACACTAATAAATTCAGTGTGTTGTAAGATGCCAAGCAAAAACATGAAAATGCTGAAAATGATATAAGCCAACAGTTTTAAAAAGTATCTAGCCATGGAAACTTTATTTACCTTTTGTCTCCCAAATGTCAAAAATATGTGACATTTGGGGACAGGAAGGTAAATTCTATGAGTTACTTTTATTTTGAATGCATGCATTTAGGAATCTTATTTCTTTACCAAGAGCCTTGTTTTGCAGGGTTCCTAAATACATAGCTAGATACCGTATTTCCCTGAAAATAAGACCTGGTCTTATTTTCTTTTAGGCTTGAAAATAAGCACTTGGGCTTATTTTCAGGCAGGTCTTTTTTTTTTTTTTTTTTTGAGGTGCAGGAGGTGGCGAGCCCGGTCACCTCATGGCTGCTCGGCCCCTTAACCACGGCCTGCGGATCAGCTGAGCCAGTGAGGGCCGGGAGTTCTGTCTCTCTGGGTGCTAGCCCCAGCCCTGCCCATGGTGCCAGGCAACCTTGCAGCCCAGGGCCCCTCTCTTCCACAGCTCACCTTGTGGCTCTGGAGCAGGTGGTGAGCACGGTTTGCACTCCACCAGGCCTGGAGCTCAGGTGTTGCTCAGGCTGTTGCTACGATGAGATAGAAAGCCATGCCGCCCATCGGAATCAGCTCCCCCCTGCCTTTACCCAGCTGCTGCTGCTTGAGAAAAGGACGAAAAGGCAGGCAATTCTGGAAGATTGTGGGAAGTGCATGCTTATGGTAGAAGCAAAGCCCAACCTGTCCCTTTCAAGCAATCAAATGTCTCTGTGTGAGAGAGAATGAGAGAGGGGGAATGGAGGGGAGTAACAAGAATTGCAGGCAATGCTGTTTGAAAGGGTTTTCTCTCCATCATTTCAACTGCAAGGCTTGTTGCGTGTACGAGAGGTGGCACCGCTGTGAGGTTTGACATACCAGCGCAGCCACTTAGGGCAGGACGCCAGCTGCTGTGAAGATTTTGGGATTTTGGTGGCCTTTATGTGGCTGGGATGCCTGAAGGATCCCTGGGTTCCAAGGCAGGCAAGGCTCAGCGTTTGTGCTGTGGTGTGCTCTTCTCCCGGGCAGCAGCCCTGCGTCTGCACCACATCCAGCTCACCGAATCTGGCCTGCTGATCTCGGGTGGAGGTGGTAGCTCTGACCCAATCTTCGCCGCCAATGCTTCAGGCAAGAACAAACCTTGCAGCATCCAGCTCCAAGAGGCTGCACCTGTCAGGGCTGCCTCTGTTCAATTCCTAGGAAAGAAAAATCCTTGGCTCCATAGATTTAGAGAAAAGTACTTTTACTAGAAACAAACTGAATGCAAACAGTTTCAAGCAAGCTCTGAAGCACAGAGTGGGATCAGCACAGATGCAGATACAGTATACAGCCCAGCCCCCTTGTAGCTAGGTAACTGGAAGCCACTGCATACCAGAACAAACTGACATGGCCTTGAAAGTAACCGCAGTTGCAAAGCTGCAATTTAAACTGTTCCACAGTTCTCCCCCCCACACACACACACATTTTATGGCAGCAAACATCCAGCTAGCTGACAGAGCTGGTATGACAAACCTCGCAAAGACCCATTTCTGGCGGAGTTTGGGAGAGAGAAACAAGCCAGGGACTCTGTTGCTTCTGCTTTCCTTGCATGCAGCCAAAAGTTCACAAAAGGCAAGAAGGTCCCCCTACCCCCAGTCCCAGGTCAACAGGTTGCTATACCTGGGACTCATGTTGCGGGAGAGGAGGTGATGTGAGGGAGCCCATTTCTCATGTTGGCCGGGTGGAGGGTGCCCATGTATTGGCCAGACCTAGGGGTGCCATCCTGAGCAGGTGCCGAGCTGGAGGCAGGGTTACCTGCCTTCTACCGTTTCTCATCGTGTGTGTGTGTGTGTGTGTGTGTGTGTGTGTGTGTGTGTCACATACAGAGAAATGGCAGAGAGGAAACCCTTTCAAACAGCATTGCCTGCAATTCTTGTAACTCCCCTCCCTCATTTATCTTTCTCTCTGTCTCTGTCTCATTCTCTCTCTCTCTCACACACACACACACATTTGATTGCTTGAAAGGGACAGGCTGGGCTTTGCTTCTACTGTAAGCATGTACTTCCCACAATCTTCCAAAATTGCCTGCCCTTTTGTCCTTTTCTCAAGTAGCAGCAGCCTGGTAGAGGGGGGGGGAGGGGGAGCCGATTCCAATGGGCCGCATGACTTTCTGCCTCATCGTAGCAGCAGCCTGAGCAACACCTGAGCTCCTGAGCTTAAGAATGAACAATTCTTAACAACACACTAACTACTATGCCTGCCATCTAGCAAGTAATGCTCCAAATGCATATAAATATCTGTTTCCAGAGAAGTCTGCAAAATGTTTCTAACTTTGTAACAATTCAAATGCCAGTATCTAATGGTTAAACAATAGGTTCTCATGTAAAGGTCTGTTGCTGTTTTGTAGTGTTTTTATTATCAATATTAGTAGTGACTCTTTTCTTTGTCTCTCACTGTGCAATTGAATGTTGATCAAAGCTGGTTCTGTGAAGGTAAAGAACTACAAAATTCTCCTGATATTCAGATCTGTTCTGAAAGTGGAGGACTCCAGACACTCATTATAGCAGAAACTTTTGAAGACGACACAGGGCGCTACTATTGCCTGGCCTCCAATTCTCTTGGCTCTAGTTCTTCTTCAGCAGAATTATTTGTTGAAGGTAAGAAGACATGGCAATAAAATGGGTTCTGTTTCTACTACTGGGTTTCTCCAAAAAGAAGACCAGGTCTTATTTTCTTTTGACTCCTGAAAAAACAGCTAGCCATTCTTTTTGGAGGGTTCTAATTATTGATTCACCTCGTGGCAGTGGCACAGATAGCCCCACACAGCAGGAGCCTGCTGCTAGCCCACTTCTTATGCGGCCGCTTGCCACCACTTGTACGCATCGCCCTGGCCTCCATTTCGCCTGAAGATGCCTGCTGGAAGGCATCTGCAGCCGATAACAGAATTCTGGATTGATCCGGAGCTCTGTTATTGGCTGCAGATGCCTTCCGGCAGGCATCTGAAAACAAAACAGAGGCCAGGACAATGCGAGCGAGTGGCGGCAAGCAGCTACAGAAGAAGTGGCTGCAGAAGAAGGCGAGGCAGGTGTCGGGTTGTGGGAGGCTGGTAAATAGGGCAGCTCCACCCTCCCATCCCCACCCTAACTTATTTTTTACTTGTGTGTCTCACCCCATCCCCTGCACCCCTGGGTGGGTGGAGTCTTAATTAGGGCTAATTTTGTGGGTGGGGCTTAATTTGATTGCATGCGCTCAAAAACATGATAGGGCTTCTTTTCAAGGTGGCTCGTCTTTTTGTAAAAAACACAGTACCATATTTATAGCAACAGCTCTAGCTTTCACAAGTTTATGGGTCTGCACTCTGCGATCTGACTCTGCATGTCTAAATTGTCAGTGTCTACAATGATTAAAAAGTCTAATGTTAATTGTTACAATTCTGCTGTATATATAGCAGTTCTTCTATTTTTAATTATACCTTTTCAACAAGTTAGACTTTTGAAAACTGTTTTTAAACAAAAACTGAAATGCTGTAAAACAGGGTAGACAGCCTTTTTTTCCACAGGAAGGTACCCTGTTTATTTTTGAAGTCCAAGAACTGCTGGGGAATGATTATGGCACGGTGTGGTCGTGTCTATAGTGGCAGTGAGTTGTATTTGATATTTTCAAAGTGTATTATAAGCAGTATAGTTTTCATGAAGGCTTTCCCATTCATAACATGGCCTGACACAAAGCAACATTTTCTGGCAAAATGGTTTCACCCCACCACCACCCATATCTATGTCAGTTACCAATCTGTCATCTTCCCATCTGTGGACATACATACAAAGCACTATGACAGGGGTGTCAAACTCAATTTCATTTTGAGGGCTGCATCAGCATTATGGTTGCCCTCAAAGGGCCAGTTGTATGTAAGACTAAGATAACTCATAGTGGCCAGGTGAACGTAGCTGGGTGGTCATAGCCAGGTCACCGCGACTAGGTGGACGTGGCAGGGTGGGCATGGCTGGCGTACACCACTCACTGGGCACAATTGACTTGAGACGGGGCAGAACAAGTAACATTGGCTAACTCGACATGGGGACAGTTCAGTGCCCCACAAGCTCCTCGCCTCCTCAAACAGCTAGTAGCGAAGTACATGCGCACACATCCACACCCACACCCACATCCACACACTGCATTCTAAGTTTGGGGACTTTTATCCACAGAGGAAGAAGAGACCCTTCTCCTCAAGCCTAGGCATAATTAGCAGTTTGCAAGCTCAGATGTGGATAAAAGTCTCCAAACTTGGAATGGTGTGTGTGTTTGTGTGCACGCACGCATGCACAGCACACCAAAGGAGACATTCTTCTCCCAATCCAATGGTGAAATCTTTCCCGGTTTGCCACTGGTTCACTGTCCATGCGTGTGCAGTGCGTGCCAAATATACGCTGTGTATGCGCATGCACAGTGCGCACCAAATGTATGCTGTGCGCACATGCAGTACACACCAAATGCCCGCTGCGCGTGGAAAAAGGCTTGGGAAAGTAAGTAGAACAGTGGGGGGGGGAAACAGCTGTGCCACGCGATTTAAACTCACTAGAAAGTAGGATTTCATGCTTTCTAGCGATTTTAAATCATGCAGCACAGCTGATCGTTGGAAATACCGGTTCAGAGGAACCGGTAGCTTTTTTTTACTATCGGTTCGCCTGAACCGGTAGTTTTTATCACTACCGGTTCACTTGAACCGGTGCGAACCGGTAGCATTTCACCCCTGTCCCAATCCCAAACATTGTTGGTGTTTCCCTGTCCAATGCCCCCTCCCAGGAAAGCAGGAGGTGGAGGAGGAGGATGCTGCATGTGGAAGCATAGAGGAGAAATTTTGCAGGAAGCAGTTTCCTCCAAGTCCAACTTCTGCTTGACAGATTTCTGGAGAGCAAGAGAAGGCGGCAGGGGAACAGTACTCCCCGGTTCTGCATGAGGGAGGCTGGCCCTTCTCAAAAGGGAATCCCTGTTTACAATCATGTATGGTAAGGATTCTGGCTTGTTGGGGCAGCCGTCCCTCATGCAGCTCCCCCACCACCCTCTTCTCCTCTCCAGAGATCTGTCAAGGCAGAAGTTGGACTTGGAGGAAACTACTTCCTGCAGACTTTCTCCTCTGTGCTGCCACATGCAACAGTCTCAACCTCTGCCTCCTGTGGAGGTCCAGGCAATGCTGGGAGGGGGGATTCCAGAGGTCTCCAGCAGGGGAAGGTGAGACTAGGGCGAGCACCAAAGCCTTGTCCACCAGAGGAGCCTTGCCATCCCTCTCAGGCCATACGGAGGACCCCAGACTGCAGCACAGGCCATGCTGCTACCCTGGGCAGCAGAGGGTAAGCACCCAGCCTGGCCCTCAAGCTCCTGGGGCAGCGGGACCCCTCAGCCCAGGCCAGCTCCACTTCTCCAAGGAGGCACCTGGCCATGCTTACCTCCTCCTTGAGGCTGCTGCTGCTTTGCTCATTCTCCTTGGTTAGGTTGCTCATGGTGGGTGTGGGAGGACAAAGTGCATGGGTCAGAGGGAGGCCCACTGCCTCTCCATGCAAGGAGACCCGGCTTTGTAAGTAAATCATTCTTAGCGATTGGATGGGAGACTACCAGGAGAGGCCAGGAGGAGGTGGCAAGGAGATGTCAAAAGGGCAGCAGGGATGCTGGTTGGCCATGTGCTAAGGCAGGACTTGCTCCCTCCCTTTCATTATAATCTCCTTCCTTCCTTCCTTCCTTCCTTCCTTCCTTCCTTCCTTCCTTCCTTCCTTCCTCCCTCCCTCCCTCCTCCTTCTCATTCACATCCCTTCCTCCCTCCCTCCTTCCCTGCCTCTCTCCTTCCTTCCTTCTTCCTTCCTCCCTCCCTCCCTCCTTCCATGCCCAGAAAGGGACAATAGGAGGGGGAGATGGTAGCAGCATGGCCAGTGGTAGTGCCTTTCCCATGCGGGTGCAGGAGGCAGGGTGGTGGCTGCCCTAGTGAAAGGGATGTGCTAGTGGGCTGCAGACCCAGCGGGTGAGGCCGGACAGGCAAGAGACAGCGTGAAGATGGAGACAGCAGAAGCTGTGAGGCTGCTACTGGGGCTCTACTATGTGCTGATCTACAACTTGATGGTGGGCACCAGGGCTGGAACACGGTCAGCCTTAGACTGCCCCCTAGGACTACCGTGGAGACAGTTAGGGGCCAGCCCCCGCTGCCTTGCCCCCAGCCCATCCTGGCTGGGGCATTCCCCCTGGGCGTGTGCATAGGAGGAGGTGTGTGTGTGTTGGGGCTGGCATCCCCAGTGTCCATCTTGCCCCCAGATCTAACCACATTGTGGGCTGGATCTTGCCCACGGGCCTTGAGTGTCACATGTCTGCACTAAAATAAGAACACTATAATTTTTCTTTTCCAAGAAAGTAAATGGATTTTGTATAGAATTCAATAATTTTATGAGAACCAGATATAAATTGTAGCTGTGCAGAATGCTAATTTCTTTTTGTGTGTCTTAATATTAAAAACTTTAAATAAATTACAATAATTGGATGGGAGAAGACTGGTGAACACCAAAGTATCATGGAAATTTCAGCAATACTGAAATCATGGAGATTGTCTTAAATCAGTGGTGTCAAACTCAAGGTCCGCGGGCTGGATTTGGCCCATGGGGTGCTTAAATCTGGCCCCTGGGGCCAGCCTGGAAATAACAAAGGACTGGCCCGTGGTGCCTCTGGCAGCCAAAACAAGGAGCGGGGCCTGGATGGCCTCCTGCAGCACTCTGCCTGCCAAAATGGGGCGCAGGGCCCCCACCACCCTGTTTTAGCTGGCAAAATGCTGCAAGAGGCTGTCCAGGCTGAAAATGGGGCACGGGGGGGGGGGGGGGGGGCTTCACGCACCCAGTTTTGCCCAGCAGGGTACTGCAGGAGGCGTCTGTCCCGTCACACACACATCCCCATCAACCTGCAGAGGAGAACTACAATGCTGATCTGGACCTTGAAGAAATCCAGTTTGACACCCCTGTCTTAAATATTCTGTTTATAAACATGCAGCTGTGTTACACCTGATGTTATCACTAATGAGACTGTTTCCTACTTTTCTGCAGGTGCCAGTTCCTCTGATTCTGATAGTGAACATTTCAAAACAAAATCTGGAGCCATGCCCCAGTGAGTTTACAGAACAAAACCAACTATGTTGTGTTAATGTTTCTATGACCATCTGAAAGGATAATTGCTAAACTGTTCTGCTTCACATCTTCCTCCTATAATCGCTTTATGCAGGAAAAGAATTAACTACTGTTAATCAATAATTAAGTGCTGTTGATGTACTGGATTGAATCTTGACCGTAGGATGACTATGAAGACTAATTATTTCATATTCTGAAGATGGATTCCAAGCATATCAGTAAAATTATCTTTGTTCTAATGTATAACTAGTAAGAAATATTTCCTAAAATACAAAGAATTTGATGAGGAAATATTAGCATTAGAGTTTCATTGCCGCACTGGAAACATATTAAGCTGCAGTTTTCTACTTACTGAAGGCATAGATAATGGAAAATGTAGCTAATTGGTTACAGGTCCCTAATCAGAATGTAAGTAATCCATCTGATTTAAGCAGCTTGGCATACAAATGTTATCACTTTTATCCACAAGAACAGTGTGAACACTACTTCTGAATTGGATGGCATAGAAATAGGATACTGCAATGATGAGAATGTCTTCTTTAATTCGAACTTTTGACAGCAAATTTGCTAAGGAAAAGACCTACATCCACAATCTTTGTATGACTGTTAGAACAAAAATATATTTTATCAATCCAAATGTGTAATGCCTGTTTTTAAAAAAAAATTAACAAAAAAGATAAAAAATTTGAGAAATCAGCTTGAAAGAAAAAACCCCTTGTTTTACTTTAAGATGTATATAATTACAGCTTGGAGCAATTTTTAATATTAAAATGTTAACTGATTAAAGAATAAGGGTTCAAAGTATATGTTTTTCCCCCTTAAATTGCTAAGAGCAAGAAGAATAGAATAAACAAGATTGGGTGTGTGCTCAGAAAAAACAAGTTGTTAGAACCCTGAGGATGTTCCCCAAAGTTTCCTGATGTTAGTAATTACTTAATTAAATTTAAGTTAATGTATGTAAATTCCTATTCCCTATCACTTAACTACCAAATAAGTAACAGGATGAAAAGATAGTGTGGAATTTAGTGTTTGAGTAAGCATGAGAAAAGGCTCTACAGTGTTCCATTTCATGAAATGGGAAGCATTTTATGAGCACACCAAGTGAATTTCTGTCTGCGTTTTGATTTGTCCGATTATCCAGGGCTCAGAAGAAAAGTACTTCTGTTTCATTGACAATTGGATTGACAGCTCCAAAGTCTGGAATTACTACGGCAGTAATCCAGCCTATCTCTGTGCCTAATCAGCAGGTAGATATTTATGTGCTACTATAGAACATTAAATGTTTGTTACATTACTTATTATTTATTTATTATTATTTAGCATATGATGAGAACATGACAGAAGAGAAGTAAACATATATACACAGTCCACGTAATTATACATATAACATATATGGGGGTGTGGCAGTGACCTCATAACTGGATGTCCAGCTATCCAGGCGATCACCTCTGGCATTGCTTCATGCATATCTTCTACAGAACTGGAGAATTACCCTATTTTTTGGACAAAATGGGTGGAAATGTCTGTGCTTCTTATAGAATGAATGTTGCTGAAGCCCTGCCCACCCTCCGGCCCCCTTCAGCCTCTGCCTCCCAGCAATTTGCCTCCTTGCAGCAAACAGCAAACACCCTGATCAGCTTCAGCACAGCCTGATTTAGCATGAGCAGCTGATTGGTGGTATTCTGGGAGGCAGATCCAACTGCCAATCAGCTGCTCATGCTAAATCAGGCTGTGCTGAAACTGGCCAGGCTGTTTGCTGCTTGCTGCAAGGAGGCAAATTGCTGGGAGGCATAGGCAGAGGCGGATTTTTTTCTTGTTTTACTCCCCAAAACCTAGGTGCATTTTATAGTCCGGGGCATCTTATAGTCCGAAAAATACGGTAATTAAATTATTATTAAATTAATAATAACATATAGATATATCCCATTATTATTATTATTATTATTATTATTAGTTAATCTTTAGTGAGATTCACAGCCTTTGAGGCTGGTTAATAGCTCAGCAGCTCGAGTCCTAACCAAGGACCTAGGAACTGTTAAGGTATCGTCGGAGGATGTAAGCTGTTCCAAGTAAGGTGGTTTTTTGTAGAGTCAAAATGTTCAAGTCCGGCAATTTTAGAATTTCTAAATAGCGGGGTAGCCCTTTGGGTATTGCTCCAAGGGCTCCAATTACAATCGGGACAACACACAATTTCTTTTTCCACAGTTGCTCAACTTCAATTTGTAAGTCCCGGTACTTGGTGATTTTTTCTTGCTGCTTATCTTCAATTCGTGCATCACCAGGTATTGCAATGTCAATGAACCATACTTTTTTCTTTTCAACTATTGTTATGTCAGGTGTGTTGTGGACCAAGTGCCTGTCAGTCTGAATCCTAAAGTCCCACAAGATCTTGAGTTTCTCATTCTCTAAAACTTAAATATAACTTCTTCTTCTTCTTCTTCTTCTTCTTCTTCTTATTATTATTATTATTATTATTATTATTATTATTATTATTTATTGAATTGAGTCCTACTCCCAAAGGACTCAGGGCGGTGAACAACTATAAGAGCTTTCCTTCTTTTCTGCCTTGGATTCTTCTATTGGTGCATTTATTTAATGAAGTGTCCTTGCTCACTTTTCTGTACAAGTTTTAGGTATGATAGCATTAAGGTATAAATAATTTTTAAGGGAATATGGCAGACTACAAATATCCTCAATTTACAGCACTTCAAATTACAACACTGAAAAAGTGACTTATGACCATTTTTTCACACTATTGCAGCATCCCCATGGTCACATGACCAAAATTCAGATGTTTGGCAGCTGACTCATATCTATGACACTTCCAGTATCCTGGGTCATGTGATCATCTTTTATGATCTTCTGACATGCAAAATCAATGGGGAAGAGAGATTTATTTAACAACCATATTAATAATTTAACAACTGCAGTGATTCACTTAACAACTGTGATAAAAAAAGGTTATAGAATGGGGCAAAACTCACAAAATTTGGGCTCATTTGTAGTCATACAATTGAGGACTACCTGTACTTGCATTTGGGTATTTGTATTCATTGATTGATTCTATAAAACTAAAAATTAAGCCTGTTGTAAATTTATTATAGAGGCACTGATTAGGTGTATAGAATTAGGTATGCAAGTATATCCATGAATCAGTGCTTCTCATTTCCTGACATTTCCTGAAGAGCTTGAAATGATGAATACACAGAGTTCCCCAAAGATTGTGGACCATAAATTTAAAATAATCACTTTTGTACATTCTCTTCATTTTCTTAATATGCAATGTCTTCTTCAAGCACATATTTTTACATACGTTCTTTTTTATGTTCATTGCTTTCTTCACAATTCAATGTACATTCAGTTCTCATCACCATACTCATACTCATCACTCATAATATTTGAGCAGCCAGAGACCTACTGTGTTCATACTTCACAATTCCAGATCATAGCTGAGAAAAACTGCAACATAGCACCTGTTCATACTAGCTGTTCTGAACATCAATGCTAATGTAGCTGGGGCTTCAAGAAGCAAATAATGCAGCTGTTTAAAGCTGTTCTGAGACCCTGCGTGTGACATTTATATTTCTCATCTTTCTTTTTTCAGGGATCATGATATCAGTATTTGTTCAGACTTTCCCAAACTATGGTATTTAATGTTGTAAAAGTTGCAGTCAATATTATTGTTAATGGTCTTAGAGTATGTAAATCAGGAGCCACAAGAGATTTCATGGAATTATATTCTTAGTGACATTTATATAAATTAGGATTGGTTATTATATTTATCAAAGTATTAAAAGCTAGGAACATTTTTGAAAGTTATCAGCTGATAATTCAGTGTCATTGCTTAGTCACATAAATATATATTGATGAGTTTTGTCTGAAATACTAATTTTAATATGTTTATGCTATATTCAAGGGAAAAAAGAGAAAATGATAATAGAAATATACTTTATATTATTGTTTAAATTGCTCTTTATATTATTAATGGTGCAGTTATATTTTAACAATATCTGCATATGATATTTTTACAGGTTCAAAGTCCTACTTTACATCTCTGCAAATTAGATGGATCAAAGCCTAGTCATGCTACACCTATTTTTACAAAGGTCTGTTTTCTCAACCAATATTCCAGCCTGAAACCATGTGATTATGGATAATTTAAAGCCTATAAGAGTGGTACAAATAGTGATTTTTTTTTTGGTCTGCCAATTTCCCCAAAGGGGTACTAAGAGCATACTTAGGAATTATAGGGATTGACAGATGGCACTTCTGGAAGGCAACTGGTTTAGAAGGATGATTTATATTATGGAAAGAAATATTGGGATTTTTTTCAGAAATACTTTTTTCTGTAATCTTAGCTACCACTGCTTGCACTTTATAAGATGGAATGGGCTAGTCATGGACTGCGTGCAGCTTTCTAGCATCTCAAGCTTTGGAAACTGAATATGGTAAAATTTGGTACACTTTAGTGCAATTTTAATACATGGTACATTTTTTGGTTTTTTTTTCACAAAATTAAGAGCTGGAACAAAAGTGGAAGACAAAATGCCCTAAACGACACCCTTAAATATTACACAAATCCTGAAAAAAAATCCCTAAATTAGGCTGCAAAATGGTTTCTGGACCTTAAGAGATTGAGGTGAAAATGTGAAGATTTTAGGATTCAAGCCACTCCATAACCGCCTCTCGCCACCGTAAGAGCCCACTCTTCATCTTTTTAACTAATTTTAACAGTATTTAATCTTCCTTGCCTCCTTCTAAATTTTTAATTTTTACATGCTGTTTTATTAACATTTTATTGTATAGTTCCTCTCTGAGGGAGATGGGTGATTCAAAAATGTAAAAATAAAAATAAAACAGAGCCAGAATATTTAAAATGATTGCAACTTTTTCCATTTACTTTTTATTTTCCAAATTACCATTTTTGCCTGTTTTTTAAAAATATTTGGATAGTGCATAAGTACTTATACATAAAATAATTGCTACCAGTGGAGAAGGTGCTGTACAGATAACATGTTTTTTTCATTTTTATTTTTATTTTTGCTTGATAAAGTCAAAGGTGGAAAATGTGTTATAAAACACATGCGGGTTAGGGTAGAGTATAGCGATGGACTTGAAGATGGAATTGAGCTACCATTCATCAGCTTTAGGCTGGAGAGAATGTGGAAAAACTTCAACATTGCCTTCCCTTAATTCTCTCAGTATCAGAGCAATTGGGAAAGGAAAGAATTTCCATGAGACTTAAGATTCTTTAAAGTTATATATTATAACTTTATAATATACTGTATAGCATAACTGTGTTTCCTGATCTGATATCCCTCAAAGCCCTATAGGTCCATATGGTAGATGTCAGTTGTTTTGGATCTCCTATAAAGTTTCATAAAGGAACTACATCAATTCCATAATAAAAAGCATTGTCTAGAAGTAGACATTGTTATAAAGTAATGCTTGCTTCTGCACATTAAAATGTCATTTCCTCGATATTAACTGTGTTTGATAGATGCCGATTAGATAGATAGATAGATAGATAGATAGATAGATAGATAGATAGACAGGCAGACAGACAGACAGACAGACAGACAGACAGACAGACAGACAAAGTTGCGTTCTCACGATGGCGTCATGTGACATATTGGGACTTTTTCCCACTTTGCTAAACCGGCATGTGACACATCTGGCCCGCAAGCCACGAGTTTGACAGCTCTGACATAGATAGATATAGATAGGCAGGCAGACAGTTTGACAGGTTGATAGGTAGATGAAATTTCCACAACAGTAAACATCTGATCACAACATAACGTGATCATCACAAGGTTTATGCCAATACTGGGACTGACTCTTTGTTTAGAAAAAGTATTCCTCTTTTCAAAGCCAAAGAGCAAGGTTTCTCAACCTCAGCAACTTTAAGATGTATAAACTTCAACTGGCTGGGAAATCTGTTCAAGACAAGATGCAAGAGAAGAGATATATGTTGACCTAGACTTCAGCAGCCCCCAAATTTTTGGGCATCAGGGACCAGTTCTGTGGAGTGAGATTTTTCCGTGGACCGGAGAGGGTGTGGTTTTGTGTACTGCCCAGGGGTGAAATCCAGCAGGTTCTGACAGGTTCTGGAGAACCGGTAGCGGAAATTTTGAGCAGTTTGGAGAATTGGCAAATATCGCATCTGGCTGGCCCCAGAGCGGGGTGGGAATGGAGATTTTGCAATACCCTTCCCCCAGGAGTGGGTGGGAATGGAGATTTTGCAGTATCCTTCCCCTGCCACACCCACCAAGTCACGCCCACAGAACCGGTAGCAAAAAAAAATTGGATTTCACCACTGGTACTGCCTGTATCCTGCAGATGGAGCTTCACTTTTTTGCACGGTCTGGTTTGTGGCATGCCATGGACTGGTGCTGGTTCACGGACCAGAGGTTGGTGATGGGGACCCCTGGTCTAGTTTACTTGGAAATAAAAGCTGCACTATTCAAATAAATAATTGAAAAAATAATAACATAATAAATAATAAGTAAAAGATTTCAACAGCTGCTCTTAATTGCCCATGTTGGTGTTATAGCTTGCCAATGTTAGTGTTACTTTTCCTGATAGACAGGTTTTTCTGTATTTTCATTAGCTTATTTATATATCAAACTTTCAGGAACTTCAAAATTCAACAGCAAATGAAGGACAAGTAGTTGTACTTGAGTGTAGAGTAAGAGGAGCACCTCCCTTACATGTTCTCTGGTTTCGTCAAGGGGTTGAAATTCATGATTCTCCAGACTTCCGAATTCTTCAGAAAAGTAAGTGCCGATTATTTTGCCATTGAAGTAGACATGCAGTAAAAAAATATACAAATGTGAAGTTATTATTATTTTTAACTGTATTCTGAATTTGAAGTTCTAATTTTATAAAGCTTGTTACCTTTTGCATAGTAGCATTTCTAATGCACTTTATTCTTCCTGCTTTTCTTCCCTATCCTGTGCTTTGGATGATGTCATAAACAGAACCACGTTCTACAGCAGAACCTGGTAAGCATCATATTTTTAAAAGTATTGATTTCTTGAGTTGTAGTTAAAATATTTTGTATAGGGCTAGTAATAGGCAACTCTTTTGGAGGCAGTATTTTCTTCATATGATCTTATAAATATTAGTTTCTTTGGGGGAATGAGGGTTAAACTGGCACAGCTCTGGAGCTCATTCTTTCAAATAATAACTTTATAAGAATTACAGAAAACTAAAATACATACTACAGCAATATTACAATTCATAGGGTTTGTTGAATTGTCTGTTCCAGTCCCCAATGTGGGTCTAGAACAACTCACTGGCCAACTTGCCGCTGCCAATTTGCCACAACCAACTTCCCATGGCCAACTTGCTGCAATACAACTTGTCACAGCCAACTCACTGTGGGACAACTCGCCACTGGTCAAGAGTTACATTAGTATTGAAGAAATGGTGGAATAAAATCATTAAAGAAAGGATGCAAAAGGAGGGATAAAATGAAATGTGAATGTCAAAAATTGAATTTCTGACCTGTCCTGTGGTGAGATGGTGGTGTTGAGTTGGCAGTGGGGAGTTGCCCTATTCTGCCCCAAAGTTTTTTTTTTTTTTTTTTTCTGATGGTATGTATGTTTTAAAAACCTAAAGTAATAAATAGGAAACAAGGTAATTGTTATTTATACCTCTCTGATACATGACATTTGTAACCTATCTCCCTAAAATCTCAGTTGACTACATGTTAGTCAGTATTGAATTAAAAGCAGAAGAAGGTGGGGGGAGGGAAGAAACTTTGGAGATTCAGGCAATTGAAAATCTATGAAACAGATTTTTATTGTCATTATTAAGTTCTGTCCGCTTAATGTGTTTTACACTCCTTTTTTTTGTCTGGACAGAAATCGGCCTGCAACACAAATCTCTTCAGACTGTTTGAAAAATTAATAGCTAGACAAATTACTTAAGGCCAACACCACAGTCCAATGACCTGTTCAGTACTATGTTATTTTGACATTTTGACTTTATGTTGATTGACTCCTTCAAAATAAAGTTCCTTTAAGAAAGGAGAAAAAGAAACCGACAGAATCATTTGCCAGCTGCTGATGCTTTGGCCATTACTCAGCTGTCTGGAAGCAGCCACAAAAATATAAAATTTCTTTAACACAATTGTATTTTGATACGTTAAAAAAATATTTGATATCTCTTTCTTTTTTTGGTCAGTGATCAGGGACTTGTTAAATATGAAAAGTTTTCAGAATACTTTATTTCATTGGATTTTGAACATTCACACAGAGAAACCCTCTTCAACTTTTTATCAAACTCTGACTCTCTTCTGTTTACATGGATCTAGAAAAGGCTTCTTAGCAAACAAAATCTATATATTAATTGCAAAAGGTGTTTAACCAGCTCTCTCTATAATTTTTATTGCCATATTAATATCATAGTATTTACTGAGAATTCTGTAGTTGCTGATCAATATATTTTGGGAAATTAGTTGGGGAAAACTAGAGAAAGTCTTCTCATGCAGTTCTTTCCCAGTCTAAAGAACAAGTCAAGTTCCTGTTATGTTGGCCAACAATCCATATTGGAGGAGGGAGACATACTTACAGTTGAAGTCATTAAACTGCAGGATACTTGTGGAGGTAGATAACCAAAAAAAAAAAGGTGGGGGACACTGCAGAATAGGATAAATACAATTGGCTAGCAATCTTGTAGGATTCTTGAGAAAGAAATGTTCTACTTCTGTATTTGGTTCAAAAAGGAACTAAATCCTGAGCCTGGTAGATGATCATTTCAGACTCATTTCATATATTGTACAGTGTTCCTTGGTCAAAATTCCTCCTTGGCTGTGGAGGCTACATTGCCAACAATAGTGTGTAGGTGTAAATCAAAACGGTTTCATTCATTTTCTGATTAAGGATAATTCATGAATTACTCTCCAGCATACAAATAAGTATACATATTTTGTTATGCTTATACCATATTAAAAACTTGGCACTTTTAAAACAGTCTGTGGATATTTCAGAGCCTATTAAAAGTACTACAGTAATCCCGATTCCTTTACTGCAGCATTTTCCATTGTGATATGCTTTTAAGCATATCTATGACTTATGTGAGTTGAATCCATTATATCTATTAAAAAAAAAAAGCCACCAGGTTGGGAACGGAGACTTATACTGCTAAAACTGTAATGCCATAATATGGGGCATTTGATATTTGCATAGTATGTTTTATATATTCAGACAATTTGATTTGTTCAGTGAATCAGGCTTAATAAAAATATGTGGTAACATAGTAAAATTTAATAAAAAGCTAACAAATGTGATCAGTGCAAATAAGTTGTTGCTGCTGTGTTCAAACAAAGTGGGAATTTTCACTTACTGTTTAATTCAGATTTTCTGCACTTATAGTAGAGTTAAATAAGCTGTATTGTTTAGGTATGCAGTAATCATACCAATTCTACTTTATCAGCAAAGATGAATCACAAGAAGTAAGAGAATTGTGGCGTGTTTAGCAGATTTAGGTAATACATATTTTATTATTATTATTAATCAAATTTGTATAGCCACCTAGGAGATACAATGGCTCAGTGGTTGAAGATACTGAGTTTGTCAACTAGAAAGTTGATAGCATGACAGGATGCTTGTCCGGGCCCCTAGCTCCTGCCTACCTAGCAGTTTGAAAGCATGCACATGCGAGTAAATAAGTGGATACTACTTCTGTGGGAAACTAATAGTGTTTTATGTGCCTTGGCATATAGTCATGCTGGCCACATGATCACAGAAATGTCTGCGGACAATGTTGATTCTGTCAGCTAAGAAATGAGCACTGTCCCTATAGTCAGACATGATTGGACAGGGGAAACCTTTATCTTTATCTAACTTTACCTTTAGCTACCAAAAGCAATTCTGCCTGGCACACAACAATTGGATGAAAACCATAAATATAAAAATGACACATATAAAAAAATGTAAAAATCTACATTAAAAAATAAATAGTATAAAAACCTTATATTTCTACACTTTCTTTTTTTGTAGCATCAACTAAAGTTGCATTGGAATACAATTCATAGAATTCTTCTTTTCTTTTCTCAATTACCTATTACACTGGCTGCCTCCAACTGATTTGATTCTATTTCTTTGTCTATCTTTTCAAACAGTTGAATTTTAGTTCTTTCCTCTAGGAAGGGGAATAGTTCATGAAATCAGTGGGGCTGAAGAATTAATATGTTGCCTGATAAAGACCTCAGAAGTACAAAATAGCTTGGCAAGGTGAAGAAGCATTTTCAAGATAACAAAAGAGAGCTAGAATGATAGCAAATAGAAGGCTAAAGAATAAGAATAGAAATAATTCCCTAAACAGAAGAATTTATTTTTACCTGATTTTTTTTTCAAATAATATATTTTGCTCTTTCCTTGACTTTTGCACATCAACTGATTTATTTAGAATCTCTTGCTTCCTTCTTTTTCCAGAAAAAATGAATTACTATTTTGGGAATAATTCTCCTGTAAAATTCAACTAGCTGTGACTAAAGAGGCTTCATTGTTTTAAATGAATAAGCCCAAATTGTTCTGAACATTATAACTCAATGCTCATCACATCACTGAGGCAGTTTTCTGCAGCCTGGTACCTTCAAGATAGATTATAGTTCCTATCAGTGCACTTAGCATATTGTTGTTGTTGTTAATCTTCAACTTGATTCACAGTCTGAGTCTGGTAAAAATTTAACAGTTTAAGTCCTAACCAAGGACTTAAGAGCTGCTAAGGTAGCATCTGAGTATATAAGCAGTTCCAAGTAGGGTGGGTTTTTTGCGAAGGCAGGATATTTAGGTCTAATAAGTTTAAAATTTCCATCTATCTAGACAATTCTTTGGTTATTGCTCCAAGGACTCCTGTTACTATTGATACATTGATTTCTCCCTACATAGTCACTCAACTTCAATTTGCAAATCAAGTTACTTTGTAATTTTTTCTAGCTGTTTCTCTTCAATTCATAAATCATCTGGTATTGCAATATCAATGAACCAGACTTTTTTCTTTTCCACAATAGTGATGTTAGGCATGTTGTGGGTCAGATGTCTATCTGTTTGGATCTGAAAGTCCCATAGGATTTTGACTTGCTCATTTTCAAGAACTTTGTCAATTTTGTGTTCCCAGTAACTTTTGCTGCATTCAAACCCAAACTTCTGGCAAAGCTTCCAATGTATTTGGCAACGCGATCATGACATTAGAATAGAATAGAATAGAATAGAATAGAATAGAATAGAATAGAATAGAATAGAATAGAATAGAATAGAATAGAATAGAATAGAATAGAATAGAATAGAATAGAATAGAATAACAGAGTTGGAAGGGACCTTAGAGGTCTTCTAGTCCAACCCCCTGCCCAGGCAGGAAACCCTACACCACTTCAGACAAATGGTTATGCAACATCTTCTTAAAAATTTCCAGTGTTGGGGCATTCACAACTTCTGCAAGCAAGTTGTTCCACTTATTAATTAATTATAGAGTAAATAATCAGTCTGTGAGATTTTGCTGCAGCCACTGATAAGATGATCCACTATTTCATCTTTGTCATTGACATGTTGAATTTTTGCTTTCATGGAATTGGTCTGCAAGGTTTGTTCTTGGGCAGCCAAAATGAAGCCTTCAGTTTCTTTTTTCAGCATTCCTGATCTCAACCAGCTTCATGTTAGCTTTGTATCTGCCTTTCCTTCAGTGTCATTCAGGTATTGACTGTGCATAGGCTTCTTTCTCCAGTTAGAAACTCGATATTTAATTGTTTCCTTTCAATATTCTGTTTTCAATCTTGTTTGTTTTCAAGAGGTTTCCCTTGTTCACCTCCTTCAGCAGAGGCTTTTTTACTTTTTTTAATGTAGTCACTTAAGCCATGTTTTTCCTCTTCCACAGTTTGTTTCACTGGTAAGATACTTCTGCCGCCCTGAGATCTTGGCAAGTACAATCGATCAATATCACTTTTGGGGTGCAGAATGCATTGTCATTAGTTTTCTTGTCTTTCGATCCACGTTATCAA